TATTTTATATCTAATTTACCCCCAAACTTTCTAATTTCATTTTTTTAAATTTCACCACCTCCCCTATATTCAAACAACTTTTCTTACAAAATAAAAATGGATATTTAAAAATTATTTTTTATTTTTTAGGATGACAGATGAGATAGTTACTGCAAGAGCACAATAAAAAAAATTGCAGTATTGTTAAAATAAATGGACTCAAATGCATCTATTTTACTTAATCAAAGAGACCAAGAGATACAAAAAACAACAAACAAAACAATGGAGCTTTAAAACTTGTTGAAGAAGCTAGAGACGATAACCATGAATGAAACAGAGTAGCTCGTGAGAGCGAGCAATGATTGTGTTTCAAAATAATAAATTTGAAACACTACGAGAACAAGTAGCTGCCAACAATGTAGTTAGCGATGCAAAATTGTGATGTGAAGTTGAAAATCAACAAGATGAAGAAAGAACAAGAACGACAATGATTTACAAACGAAGTGATACTCCAAGTGTTTGCATTTTGGACTTGTAATACCCCTTTACTATATCAGTCACTAAATACGAGTCAGAGATATCACATGACAATTTCAAAACATCCAATACTAAAAAATCAGTATAAATGTTTTCTTTAAAAAATCATTCATTTCAAAATCAATAAATCATAAATAATTAAATCACGTAAAATCAAAATATAATATTTTAACATTGAATTCATACTCAATTTCAAACAACAACGTAATCGTTTAATATCATACCATATAATAAATAAAACTGCTTAAAATCTACTTAAACTAAAATTTATCTTAATATCAATTAAAATCTAGTTTACTAGAATACTAACTAGTAAACTATTATTTATAACTAGTAATAATAGGTATTATTCATGATAAACCATCACAGATAAAAATTACAAAACAATCTAAAATATAGTCATGTTTGAGCATTACTAACACATAAATATACATGCCAACTAGAAAATCAAAAACATCAAAAAGATGTCATAATGATACTAAAGAGATGATCCTCAATAGATGTTGCCGAAAGACTACGACTCCTTACTTTGATCGATATCCTTCACCTACGGGTAAAAATCATCACACGCTAAGTATACACTTAATGAGGCATTTTCATATTTAAAGTAAAGTATATCATTATATAAAATTTTACATAGATAATAGTATAAAAAATATCATGTAGTAACATATGAACATATAAAACGGACTTATTTCAAAGTCATTCTCTTACAAAATTATATGTAATTTAACAATTCAATATAAAGCATTTAATGCTAAATCAGAGTATTCGATGAAAGATTAACTTTCAATCGACTTGATCAAATCCGGACTTTTTCCATTCATTCAATTCATAGCCCAATGTTTATTAAATGAGATTGCAAAGTACACAAATCACATAGTATCAACATATTGCACTTTTAGTGCCATACATATATACAAGTAATGTAAAATGCAACATCATGTATCAATAATTGGGAATATCGTGGTATCAATATCACATTTCTATGTTTTGCATTCCCTAGAGTAACATAGTATCAAAATCACATTACCGTGTACTCAATGCAACTGCGCACAATAGTACCCAAAATCACATTACTACGTGCATAATGCAAATGTTGATACTCCACCTCTATGGCATGCCAACTATACTAGACAATCTCAATGTACATACAACGGGCATTTTTATTAAAATCATATATCATCCATGAATCAAAGATATCAATATTTTGTTATATCAAAATATCATACAATAGTGCATTGGGCAGCTTATACCCGAAATCATTCAAATACCATTTAACAAAATATTATGAAAATACATCATAATATGATTCAAATCTTTTTCATTTCCAAAACATTCAAGGTTGAATCATCGCAAGTCTTCCTCATATCATACACATAATAATGTAAGTTAGAATACACTTGCATGGTATACTTTACTATCAAACCTTCTTATTGATTTCAAGCCTCACTTCTGAACTTTTTCCTTCGCTTTAAGCTTACTTTGATCTCGATTTTGGTCAATATCTACACATTCATTATTAACAAAACATGTACATTTCAAAGTACATGCTAGTATCTTACTAACATATGCGCATAGTAAGAAAGAAATTCCTAAAAAAATTCAATGCTTATTCGATACTAATTCTGTTTCATACGATCTATATTGATCCTAATACTTCAAAATACAACTTCAAATCCTTCATATTCAAATCAATGAATAATTCACATAACTATTTCCAATATCACAATTTAAACATCAAAATGAATTCTTTTAGAATTCATCCTAATATTTCCAAAAAATTCAAAATAACCCCTTGTCATTTCACTTCAAATTCAAGTTTTCAACCATTCAATTAATCATTATACATCAATTTATAATCAATTCCCACAACAAGACCATTATTTTTACACATTGCAATTTAGTCCCTTAACTTTTACATACTTTCAAATTGATCCAAATAACATTCTAAAGCTTATATAATCATTCATTCATCATATATAACCTTAATAAAAATTTCATAATTTTTTTCTATTTTTCTTCAATAAGGCAAATATGAAGAGTCACTTTAGACTTGATTTTCAACTTGATTCAAGCATGAATTCAACCTCCAAACATCATGTCTAAGCATTTACAATCAATCTCATATAAAAAACAATTTAAACTTTCAATTTCTACTTGAAACTCTAATTGTTGAATTGAATAAATACCATTTTAATTGTTTTTCATCATATTTCAAGCATAAAAATGATTCAACTACATCATATTCAAGCCTTGGAACATCAAAACCTAACATCCCTTCATCTTCCCAAATCAAGAACTTGTTTCAAACATGAAAATCATGAACAAGTGGTATAAAATGATTGAGAATTTCATGTATTTTAATTTTGTTTTTCGTGCTTTCCTCCAAATTCCTAATAATTTGGCTTGAAAAAAAAAATTATCTTACCTTTGGAGAGCTCACGACAATGGCTAGGATGATGAAGAAAAATCTTGAAAATTTTATTTAAAAACTATAAGACATTTGTCATTTATTTAACTAAAATGAATTAAAAACTCATTTTAATGTCAAATGACCATTTTACCATTATAACTACATGTTCATGAACTTGTCACATGTCAAATTATTCATTCAAAGGTAAATAATAAACCAATAAGTTATTAGTTATCGACTTTGCCCTTGAAATATCTCAATTTTACAATCTTGTCACTTTTCATCTAACAACTTAGATTTAACATAGAAAATCAACTTCAATCAAATGGTCCATAGTAAATCCTACCATTTTAAGGCATGAAAATGACATTATTAACCTTGCCTTATCATCCTTCAAAAAATCTCAAATATTCTATTCAATCCGATTATTCGATTTTTTCTCGAATTTTATCACTTTATAGCTTTTAATACCAACTCCGTACGAAAAATATGAGTGACACGAAAATGTCATTATTGAGGTAAAATATTCATTTATGAAACTAAAATACATAAATTTTTGAAATTACAATTTAATCCCTAAACTTTTTCTAAGTTTATATTTTGACCACTAAACTTTTAATTTATTCATTTTGGCCAGAAGATAAAATTTTAGGGTATTACTGGACTCTACAAGAGTTGGCAAATAATCATAATGCAAATTAGTAACACATTACATCAATCACTAACCAAAATATTTTCGTTTATTAGTCGTTTTGGGTCAAATTATTTAACAATTTTTTTGTGCTTAGTGATGACATTTCTATGTTGGTATTTTCTATCTTATTGTATAGTTCATGTTTTTCTTGTTAGTTTAAAGTTTACTATGGAAACTACTGTTAGTTTTAGACATGCGGTCGCTAACATGATTTTCCCTGTCAAACCACAAGTTCTGTACCATGTTGCTTGTTAATCACTCAAATAAGCAGAAAATAGTATAAAATGAACATAAATATAATCATAGCTATTATTGTTGGATGTTATTTTCATGAATTTGGTCATAGTTTAGTGATTTAGTAAAACTCGAAGATTATTAATACAAGTTCAAGTTGTATAATTTTCATTCACTCAATGCAATGTTACTTCATGTAAAACATTAACTAAGCTCAAATGAAAATTATTAACATAAGAAAAACAAGTTTTTCTTCTCACAAACGCAAACACTTGGAGTATCACAGTGTTTGTAAATCATTGTCCTTCTTCTTCTATTTATTTCTTCGTCTTGTTGATCTTCAACTTCACAGCATGATTTTGCATCGTCGACTCCATTGTGGTAGCTACTTTTTCTCGTAGTGTTTACAGCTTATTATTTTAAGACACAAGTATCGCTTCGCTCTCACGTGCCACTCTTTGTCATGCGTGGTTATCCATCTTCAGCTTCTTCAACAAGTTTTGAAGTTTCATTGTTTTGTTTGCTGCTTTTTGTATCTCTTGAACTCTTTGATTAAGTAAAATAGATGTGTTGACTCCATTTGTTTTAACAATATTGCAATTTGCCATTCGTTGTGTCGTTGCAGTAATAATCTCAACCTCTCATCCTGAAAAAATGAAAATGCGAAAGTATATATAAAAATGAAAAAGAAACGATTTTTAAATCTCCACCATTTTAATTTTGTAAGGAAGATGGTTCGAATATAGTGGATGTGGTGGGGTATTTGGGAAAAATAAAGATTAAAAAGTTTTAGGGGTAAATTAAATATAAAATCATGGTTCAATGACTTATTTGATGTTTTAGCTATAATTTAGGGGTAAAAATTAAATATTAATCATTTTTTAACGTTTTCACATCATCATTTTAACGAATATGACGATAGAGTGACCATTTTGTTATAAATCGATAACGTTAAAAATCATTTTGTTACAAATCGATAATATTAATGATTAATTTGTCACTTTTAAAACTTCAGTGATGAAAACAAAAACTTACTCAAACATTAATTACTGCAGTGTGTAGTTTACCCCTTTTTTTAAATGAGGGCTTTTGATGCCATCGGGTAATGTCTTTTTGGACTACTTTAGAGGGTTTTGGTCGTGCTTTTTCAACTCCATTTTCTATTTCATAAAAACCTGAATTGTGTTCATACAAATGTAGTTGCACCCTCTTTGTTTTTCTTCAAAAGTTGGCTCACGGTTGCAACAAACACTAGATAATCTCCAAGGATTTACAGCATTGCACACACTTGTTAAAGGTGGAACTTGCATTTTTATTGGACTGGTTTTGATTACATTAGCTAAAGCGAGAACTGTACAGTCACCTCCAGAGGCTTAAAAAAGTACATGGCTGAGCTGTGAAAATTGTTACGAAAACACCTCAAAGGGAAGCAGCTTTCATGGTGTGCGTTATCAGGCATAAAGAGGGGAAGCAGATGGCCGAGGGTATGCAGCAATGCTCCTTCCATTGTTAGCATCACCGGTACTTCGCCTGCGTATCCGGGGTGCTTTGCTAATATTATTCTGATTACCTCCCGATTCACCCGAATCCTGGAGCTGCTCCAATGCTGTTACAACCTCATTCATGCGTGGTCTGAATTTGGCTTCAGTAGACACGCATCGCAAAGCAAGGGAAGCGGCCTTGAAGGCTACTTCCATTGAATACTGGCCTTCGAGGCGGTTATCTACAACACGGAATATTTTACGTTTGTTGGTTAGGTAAGGTCTTGCCCATTCCACCAGATTATGCTCTCCAGATGGTCTGTTCTTGTCAACCGCTCTGCGGCCAGATAACATCTCAAGCAGCACGACTCCGAAACTATAGACATCACTCCTAGAGGTCAAATGACCTGCGGTTGGAAAGAATGTTGAAAGTTACGCTATCCAGACTCCATAGGCGTACCAAAGCTGATGAATACCGATTAGACAAACTAAATGGAGCACCCAAAATGATATCAGTGAGTACCTGTGGCTAGATACTCTGGAGCTGCGTATCCATACGTCCCCATGACTCTGGTAGAAACATGGCTCTTATCACCTGTTGGTCCATCTTTGGCCAACCCGAAATCAGAAAGCTTTGCATTATAGTTCTGCAATGGCATGAAAATAGAAGGTTCACAAAGGTGTTGACGAAAGACGGGTTTTTCAGACAATTATCAAATGAAACAATACAAGTCATACTGAATCAAGCAAAATGTTGGAAGTCTTGAAGTCCCGATATATCACTTTTGTTTCCGCACTGTGAAGAAAGGCAAGCCCCTTTGCTGCACCAAGAGCAACCTTCATTCGAAGGCTCCATGAAAGAGGTTGGAAATAAGAACCTCCTGGTACAGAAAATTCAAATATTAAGTAAATGAAATTGTTCCATTTCATAAGAAAAATGGCAAAGAAAGAACTCACTTCTTAATAAATGATTCTCCAAGCTGCCACGAGGCATGAATTCGTACGCCAAAAGACGGTGTTCATCCTCTAAGCAATATCCAATCAATTTCACAAGATGAGGATGATGAAGCTGTCCCAGATAATTCAGCTCTGCCTGTAAGATCGAAGAAAAACACCCAGTGAATCTCCGCACCTCCGAAACATCATTTTAGAACTTTAAAAGCAATTAAGGAAACTGCACATAATTGGCTGTCACCATCACAGAAAGAACGATGAGGTGAAGTGAAGGTGGACTCACCAACCACTCCCTATGACCTTGGAACCCTTCCTGGTTAAGCCTTTTCACAGCAATGACAGTCCCAGTTCCAGGCTTGGCAGCAGTTAATGAATTTTCATCAATCCACCCCTTAAACACCGAGCCAAAACCGCCCTCTCCGAGCACACTATCGGGACGAAAGTTCCTAGTGGCCATTTTGAGATCAGCAAAACTGAAACTCTTCAAATTGGGAGACTGCAAAATATCACCCTCACTCCGGGGTGTCAGAGGTGCCGAAAATGATGAGACTTTGCTGCTTGTACTGCTCGTGTCTTTCCCATCGCCGCTCACGTACTTTGAACTCAACCCTCCTGTTAGAAGATTTAATATTGCAGGCATTAGTTCATCGATAAAATCCAATTTTACAAGTAGAATTCCCATTCCTGTCAAAACTCAATCTTCTAATATTTAGATTCAAACTGAAATGTTAACCAAATTAATGGAAACTAGGATAGGGTTTCACTTAGCTGGTTAGAAATCTAGAAAATATAGTTCTAAGGATCATGAACCATATGCTAACAATAATCAACAGTGGTAACACACTGATACTCAGTCTCAGGATCTCACAGCAAGCTAGAGAAAGAGAATTTCTGTTTGGTAGACAAAAAAAAACATAAGAAATTTCTACTGGAACCCAAAATTTCTAAATTGCAGCTTAAAATGTTCAAACCATCCAACAACCAGAACCCCAAAAGAGGAAACAACATAAAATGAAAGATAGCCAGAAAAAAGGAAAACAGAACAGTACTTAATTAAGCCAATCTAAAGTACAAAGCAACTAAAAACAAAATCAACTTAATTAATATTGGAATGATACTCGTAAAAAGGGAAAGAAAAGGTTGTCTATAGAAACTCAAACTACCTGTGTTACTTGGGCTCTCGTTGATCCTGGCACTTAAGCAAATCCCCATCAAATCAAATACCTGAGACACAAATACCCTCTTCACCTCTCCTGCTGAAGATCTTGAAACACAGAGAAAAAAGAACGTTTTGGTTATAAGAAACCAGAATTCAACAATGAAATGAAGCAGATCTACGTTTTAATAACCACAACTTATCCCTTCTATCAAGCAGAGCACCATAAGAATGATGACTTTCATTACAACATCAAGTATGAGAATATAAAAATACATATAAAACGAGAAGCTAAGCCACCCAAAAAAGAAAAAATAGCACACCTTTTTTCTGTGTAAAGCAACCCAACCCAACACAAAATTAGATTAAACGAAGCAGAAAGGACCTAAGAACGGTTTTGAGACAGGGAATGGTCAAGTTTGCAGCAAAAGCTTGAATTTTTCTTTGATGGCAGTAATGGCAAGTAGCTTAGTAGAACGTGAAGAATGAATACGATGACGGATCGCAAGATAAAAGAGAGTTTTTGAGGAAGGTTTGAAGAATCGCGTTAATGGCGGGCCGGTCCCTCCTTTTTAAGCGTAGAGTTTTTTATGTCCCTATATATCTATCTGTAAAACCTTTATAGAGTGAAACCAGAGAAAGATCAGCCTTTCACCAGCATTCTCATAATTTGTCAGCCGTTGGATTCTTTCTATGATAGTGGTTGTAGCTTCTATCCCTGAGCTTTCTCTCACCAGATGGCTTCTTCTGTCCTTGTAGCTTTCAACGTATTGACTGTGTTGAAAACTCAAAATCCAATAATCCATGAAAATAAAAACTATTCAAAAAACGAAACCCTTTTCTTTAATGGAAAAATAATAGTACTTGGATGACGAAATCTGTAAATATCCTAGATTTTTAAAGTTGGATTCTTTTGGCTATTAATTAATCTTCATATCGTCCCTTCCCTCGTAGAGAGGACCAAGCTGTTATCTGGGTTTTTTCAACTCGTATTTTGATACCTGTTCAAAATATAAATATTAAACATTAATACTTTTAAAGATGAACTAATCCAAATGAATAATCTTTTGTACTGCATGGAATAGGTTTATTCCTGGAAACTCCAGATAGGGTGTTCATTCGGTTAATTCGGTGGCTGAATCGACCGAATTACTATTTTCGAATTAATCAAATTTTTTTTCGAAAATATTAATCAAACCGAATAAAATTCGGTTAATTTTCGAATTAACCGAAAATTTTTAAAATTTTCTAATTTATATAAAAATTAAATATTTTATAATTCAAAAAAACAGTTTATAATTAATTTAAATAATATATAATTATAAAATAAAAATTTTATATAAATTTTTTAATTAATTAATATTGATTTAGGTTTAAAAGTTATTGAATCTTAAATTATTAATTGGGTTTTAAATAGTTTGGGTTGAGCCTATATGTTATATATAATATATTTAATATTTTTTAATTAAAAAACAGTTTACAATTAATTTAAATAATATATAATTATAAAATATAAATTTTATATAAAATTTTAATTAATTAATATTGATTTAGGTTTAAAAGTTATTGGATCTTAAATTATTAATTGGATTTTAAATGATTTGGGCTAAGCCCATATGTTATATATATAATATATTTAATATTTAAAATTTTAATTCGGTTAATTAATCGATTTCAAACCGAATTAACCGTTAACCGAATATCTAAAAAAACCTTAACCGTTATCCGACCGAATTAATTCGGTGGCCGACCGAATTAATCGAATTAGTTTAGTTCGGTCGGTTAATTCGGTTAAAACCGAATTTTGAACACCCCTAACTCCAGGGAAGGGAGAACTAAATCTTCATGCACCAATCACTTCATTTTCATTTTCTTTGTTAGTAAAATGAGAACCTGAGAGTACAGAGCTTCACTTTCCCGAAAGTTCAGAGCTTTTGGACACAAATGTGACAAAAGTGAAAGATTTTGTGTGCCATTTTGCTTGAATATTCCTTGGTAGGATAACAGACGATATGTTTAAAAGACAACCTTTTATGTCGTTTCTTCTGAATTTTGAAAATAATTGTACTCGAAAATTTTCGATAAACCACACTGATGATCTTAAGTTCAGTCGTTAAATTTTTTATCCCCTAAAGAATATATACTTACAAATTAAAGATAAAATTATTTTTTTCTGGAAAGATAATTATCTAATAATAAAATATTTCTCCAAATAAACATGCCCTTCGAACATCAATGGACACATGACAGGATGTTGATGTATGGACTGCAATGAATTAATATTTCCAGAATATCCTCTTTTAAATTAATTAATATAAATTACAATTAATTTAAATTATTATTTATTAAGTACTGAAAAAATATATATTATAACTAGCAATCTTAAAAAATTATCATAAACTTTTATTTTTTTTAAGTTACATGCAAGGACAAGGGCAAAGGCGATTGATTACATATTTAATCTCTTCAAAAAAAAATACCATAAACATAAAAATTTCAACTTCACCCAAGATTCGTTTAGAAAACATATTTATTTGTTACAGTTAGCAAATAACCATCAAAATCCTAGTCAACTTTGGCTCGCAGCATTTGATTCCGCGATCAAATTGTTTTCATCGGTCTGATTTCTAAAAGAGACTATACAAATGGTCATTAAAGTTTGAATAATCTTTTATTTTTCATTGAAGTTTCATAAGTTATAAAATAGTCACTAACATTATCGTTTTATGATAAATTGATCACTCGACCGTTAATCGCCGTTACACCAGTCACAAACGGATGATGTGGCATGTTTACTTGGCTTACATGGCGTCATTTTGCAACATCGGACCAGGGTTGATTGACTATTTGACCGAAACAATAAAGAATCAATTTTTAAGAGGATTTTAATTGATAAACTCCGATTTTAAAAGGGAACAATTTGAAGAACATGTGCTTTGCTACAGACGTATTTACAATCCTTCACAGTGAGATCAGAGGAATGGAGACTTAAGCGGAGAGACATTGAGGAGTGGATGAGCCATCGTTAACTACCCAAAGAATTAAATCATCGTGTTGGACATTTTGTCAAGTATAAATGCTTTGCAACTCAAGTTTATTTGTCTTTCAAGGCTCATGAGATACAGTTAGTTTGCATGATGAAACCCCCACACCTAGTAAGATTTTTAGGACTAAGCTAAGCGCTTCAATGGTCTAAATACCAACGTGTCAACCCTTTGGGATTCTAGATTCTTAAACCTAAAGGTCTGACCCCAAGTCGAGAAGCTCAGCCAATGCGTGCAATTGGATCAATCATCATCAAGCTTTTGAAGAAAAGTCGTGTTCCTCTTGTTTTTGTAATTTTGACGACTCAATATGAAATACACAAGTAAAAGCAAAAATTCCTTCACTAAGAGTCTGTTAGATAGATTAAAAATGAATTACATTTTGGTCTATCAATAAAATATTCCTTCACTTAGATGTCAATATTAACGTTAATAAATATTCTTCCATAAAATTCTAATTCAATATTTCTTTTTCGAAATTTAAAAAAAAAAATTGAATCTCTTTAATTTGTGTCTTTCCCGATTTTTTATATCAATGAAAAAAATTATTAAAGTTATTTTTTCCCTTCAAAATTTGATGAGAGGAAAAAATTTAAGTATAATTAACATGCTTCTTTTCTCTTCCCATATTTCACGATTCCTCTAAAAATTATTGTTCTCATTTTTTTAATTTATCATATTTCTCTCACACGTAAAGTCACAATTGTTTATCAACAATTGTGGTGCTTGAATCATATTGAAGGTTGTTCTTAAAAGTCTAGATATATCACGTTTTCAAATTCTTTATTTTAATTTTTATATATTTTTCAAATTCTAGATAAGATCGTTCTTTCATTTTCAAATGTTATGTTATGTATTGAGAAAAATATGTTGATTACGACGATAAAAAATTGTAATAGTTTCAAATGCTATGTCGTAACCAAATTCTATTTTTATGTATTGAGAAAAATATTTTCAAAGATTGTAATATTTTTTATAAGTATTTGTATTCTTAAATATATTTTTTGACATCTTTTATATTGTAATGAATTACTATTTTTTTGATTTAATAAAAAATTAATAAAATTTTTAAATTACATATTTCTTTAAAAAAATTATATTATGTGCTCATTTTTTTTTATTTTCGGCCCGAGCCTAAAATAGTCATGATCGGCCCTATTTCACCTCCATTATGTCAGCTAGGTACTGCATTGCAAATTTGGCAGTCTCAGTTTTCTCAACTCCACATTCCAACTGTAGAATAAATTTATATTATAATTCTACAGCTCATAGAACAAAAACTATGCTTAATGGGAAAAAAATATTGCAATATAATATATAACAAAAAATATTGAACATCCAACAAACCTTATGATCAGTGATTGATTTATTCCATCTGCAAAACATTAATTATAAACATAAAGAGAACATCGGAAACAACTTGGTGTAACATCATTCACCATTCATCATCTCATTATATGCAGTGTCTGCAATAGAAAAAGCATGAGGGTTGTCGGTAGCTTTTGTTTGTAAGTCGTGACAAAATCCTTCCCGTAAGTTTCGACATTGGCTGCAATCAAAATTGCACATGCAGCTTTACTCTACATAGAGAAAAATGTATAAATGAAGCGTGACAGTAGAGAGATCTTCATTGATAAGTACACAAGCAAGGTTTATATCCCGCTTCCACAAAAGTATCTGTACTTAAGATTATGAACTGAGGGCCCTTTCAAATAACTAAGATGCATGAGTTCAACCACGCCATCCATAATGTCTGGGTTTGCAGGACAGAGATGGTTGGTGAGGCTTTTACAACCTAGTCCAAGCATAAGTAACACTGAATATCACGACGAAGTTCAGCAGGTAAGCCATGTAAGATGGTTTCTTTAACTCCATGAGTTGCAAACCATTTATACTGAACAAAACGTCCAACATAATGTTTTATTTCTTTGGATAGTTAGCGATTGCTCATCCACTCCTCAATGTCTCTCAGCTTAAGTCTCCACTCCTCTAATTTCACTGTGAAGGATTGCAAATACGTCTGTAGCAAAACACCTCAATGTCTCTTAGCTTAAGTCTCCATTCCTCTAATCTCACCGTGAAGGATTGCAAATACATCTGTAGAAAGCACCTGTTCTTCAAATTGCCTCCTTTTGAAATTAGGGTTTATAAATTAAAATCCTCTATAAAATTGATTTTTTATTGTTTCGGTCAAATAGTCAACCAATCCTAGTCCGACGTGGCAAAACAACAGCCAGGTAAGCTAAGTAAACGTGCAACATCTACCGTCTGTGACTGGTGTAACAGCGATTAGCGGCTGAGTGACCGATTTGTAACTTTTGAAATTTTTGAAACTTCAATGGGGAAAACAAAAACTTACTCAAACTTTAGTGACCATTTATGTAGTTTACCCTTTCACAAAAGACATTACTGAAAGTAAAATATATGAACACGTTTACTTGTATTGAGAAATGCATTGCTGAAACAAGAGGAAATTGAATCCATGAAATCCATAAAAAACAAAGCTCTACATGTGATTATCTAAAAACTACACAAAACCATATGTTCTAGTTTTCGAACAACAAAACTACAAAGAACGTGGTCTAGCTACATGTTAGATATGAACAGAGGAAAGATGACAAAAAATGAATACAATAGTGTGTAATAAACTTAGAACAAGAACGGCCCCCACTCGTGTCAAGCTTACCTGTTTGTCCAATCAACGATGACGAGACATGAGTGAATTAGAGCTGAAACATAAACAATTGGAGACGGAACAAAAAAAAGGCCTACTGCTGGTCAGTATGAGACTGTCTTATTAATACGACATCGAACATCTTCAATTCGTTGCTTGACAGGTTTTTCTGGATGTTACGAATGCAAATGCAGTTCAGCCACTTGGTCATCCCCAAAGAAGGGAGTCCAGAGGCCTTCAGAGGCATTCGTCAACAACCAATCAGCTTTCTGCGACATGTTAACGAAATCAAAGTTCAAAGGCTTCGCCTTTTTATCAGGTTTCTTCTGTTTTTTGCCCCCAGAGTTCCCTGTACCCTGCAAAACAAAATTCAAGCATGCGCCAAAAGCGGATGAATTGAGAACTAAGAAGTCAAGATTTGGGTAAATGTTCAGCATCTTCAAACAAAAAGCTATTTATTTCAGTCTTACAGCATCTTCACTGCCAGAAGTCTCTGTTCCTTTCTTCTTTTTGGGTGGGGGCATTCCAGTTTCTAGATAGTACAGAACTTCTTTCTTCGATCTGAATTTTCGGCCAGAGGATGGATCAACATAATACTGCACATGAAATGTGATTATGTATGCTATATTATCATCACAATATCACATTGCCAATTATCTCACTATACAAATACAGCAGGTTGTCAACTACATTCTAACGTCATACATAAACAAGAAATGTATTACAGATATGTCAAAATGAACTAATCTCAACCTAAAAATCAATATAAATTGGAACGAATTTTTCTTATTTCCATAGTTTACTGCAACCCACTGAACAATGCATCTTGTTTCAGTGATAGAACGAAGAAAAAATCTACATTACCTGTGTGTTTATGCAACTTTTAGCCTTTCAGTACGCATGTTAAATTTTAGTCCATGGCTACCTAACTAAAAGTTCAAAAGATCCATAATCATAAGGATCATTGTTTTGCTGATACTGAGAAGATGTAAGTAAGCAGGAAATGGATTGCGGCTTACAACTTATCCATCATTTAGTTTGCCTAGGCTTGAGAATAGAAGCAATGAAAAACAAAGTTGAGTTTCTTTTCAAATCAAATTTGTCAAACCTAAGAACACAATTATTTTCTCTAGACTCTATGTGTACTATTTGGTGGCTATGACTGACACTTGACTCTTCAAGCTGCAAAATATGGATATAGCTTAATCCACCAAATGAGAACTACATATGTGATATACACGTAACCTGTTATCAAATAATCATCGACTCAAAAAGAGAAATTCGATAAAATCATAATCAATACACTAATATTAAACTTGACAGCAAAATAAATCATGTTAGAGCTGAGATTGAACCTGATCAACCAATCCAGCTGTTGCACCAGAGCTCCGAACCCTATCTTCGATCAACCATCCAGCTGGAAACCAAGTCTCCGGAGGCACCAAGCGCCGCTTTACCTTAGACTCCGCCGAGGACGGCGAGATATCCGGGCCTTGTACCGGCGTCTCGGACTGAGCGCCACTCGGAGCCGAACCATTGGGAGGGGTTTCTGATGACTCAGCCGATTTGGTGGCTTTAATTTGGCCGTTGGCGTCGATGAAAGCTCCGGGCTTGAGGAGCGGATCGGATGGCAAATCGGTTGTGGAGGGTTGAACCGGTTTTGACATTGAGAGGAGGAAAGAGCTGGAAGTACTTTTCGAGTTTTGAAAAAACAACAGTGAAGTATAACCAAATGAGACGGCACGAGATGGATTCGATTTAGGATATGACGCCGTTAGTATTGACTAAGTGTCACTCATTTAGGATATGACGCCGTTAGTATTGACTAAGTGTCACTCATTTAGGCTATCCGTAGCAAAATCGCAGTTAATAAAGCCATACCAAATTAAATATTTACGAGAATCGTACTAGCAGATTTATTTTCTTAAAGATTATGTTTAGTATTTAAACTTTTATTATCTATTAATAATAGTTTTAAGGAAAATGGTTTACATCTAAAATTCAAATTCTAATACGTATCTTAAGCATTAATTACATTACTATAAACAATAATAAAGAAAATCTGCATGTACAAGTCTGACTAATTCAATTTCAACGGCACCATATGTCCTACAACTATGAAATCTTGTTTATTCATGGATGAACTCGGATTCCACCAAGAACCCAAGTTTTATTTGCCCTAAATTTCTTGTGTCAAAAACAAATAAGTACTTCATCTAAAATCTCATAAAAAACTAAATCTTCTAGCACAAGTGCCACCACTTGAAATTCGGCTTGTAGGTTCATCCATGCATTTTTGTCCATGTCTCCGGCTACAATATCATCCAATGACTGGTCATGCTCTGGTTGGGATACCAGGTTTTTGCTAACTTGGGTCCACACTTGTTCAACAACATTGTTTCTCTTGAGCTTCAGTCTAATGTGAAAGTCGAAAGAGAAGTGCTTGGGGAAATATGCAGGTGATTTTTCACCGATCTCAAATAATGCCTCTTCAACGAGATCGAAAACCAGTTGGTGATTACAGTTGCTTCCAGCTTCATCAATGGTGGATTCCAGTTCAGGATAGAACAGAGTCTCTAATTCCATGAAGATGGAAGGGTCCAATGGTTGGTCCGGTGAGAACCACGTTTGGCTCCCCTCATCTTGTGTGAAACCTGAGAGCTCGAGAATGTCTTTGACGTAATTGTACCAAGGATCAGCCTCCCCATCTGGTTCAAAGAATAGGATCCGATTGCTGTTTCCCATGGTCTTATAATCGACACTTTCCTGGCTTATTTTGCGCCTTTCTCAAAAAACTCCGTTTAGTCATCAAAGAACAGATGAAAAAAAGTTTATTAATTGTTCATTGGTTCAATCTTAATCGCATTGATGTGCAAGTTCATGTTGTAAGACATATTTACCTTCTGAAATTGAAAGCTTCGCAGTGCTGGTTATATCACTTATATCTGAAGTTCGTTGCATAAGCTCAACTTCTTCATTGAAGGTTTAGTAACTTGTTCGCAACTTTTTTCCACTGGTAAACCGGTTGAACCATGGTTATTCGATCCTTTTCTTGTGTTTTCCTGCAATTCAGCATCTATAACGACTTCTGCTACTTCAGATTTATCAGTATCTTGAGGGAAACTAGTTGGTTTTGGCTCATTATGTGCATCGGTCTCCTTGTCTGCATCATTATTCTGGATGCTCCTGTTTGGGGTCTCTGAAGAAAGAGCGTTGCGAGACACCTCATATAGAAGGGAGCAAAAGGATTGAAGGTCAGATGGGGATGAAATCCTTCTGAAAAACTTGGGAGCATTATTCCCTCTTGATGCAACTTTATGTTCATTCCTCAACTTTAAGCTCCTTTACTGATTCAAGTTGGCTTCTTTGCTTCCACTATGATGAAACAATTGAGTGTATCTATCTAGGGACTCATTTATAGACTTTGTTCTTATCATCCTTTTCAGTCTCCCATTGTCGATGTCGTGATCATAAGCATTGTTTGGCGGAAAACTTTTGGCAGTCTTTTCCGAGCTTTCCGACGTTTGTCTGTCATATGCGGACAATGTATCTCTTGAAGAAACCTGGAGGGAGAACTCATTGGCACTTGTACAGTGAATACTCTTTCTCCTTTCCTGGAGGGCCTGCTTTATTCTCTGTTTATTCCCTGGGATGAAGAGCTTGCTTCTTCTTTTATGATGCTCCGAAAACAATCGTCGGTTCCGTTGTAGCCTTTGATTTGGATAATCCAGCATCAAGAACAGATTTTTCACCCCTTTGGAATGACCATACTTCCTTCTGCTTGTGCTCAAGTGTAGTAGACATAAGATACCCAGTGCGAGGCGAATGAGGCATCGGAAATGAGCCTGATTTTGTTAATTTTACTGCCTTGGAAGCTCGGTTTCCAGGAAAATGCTGTACAATACCAAGATCAGGATCCTGAAGAATATCTAGGAATGAATCCTTGTTCACCTTAAATATCTCCAAAACATCCACAGCCTCAACCTGATTGGATTCATCCAACCTAGACCGAAACCTGAAGGTTCCAGATGATGAGTGGAACCAGTTTGCTGCAACTTTGATCTTGCAGAATGCCCCAAAACCCAATGTTTATTACCGCTCTCTTCATTGGCATTCTCTTTACTTGTTAACCCCTTTGTGGGCGCTTTGCCAGACCTTTTGTTAGTTGCTCCTGTTTTCCTTGTTTGGTATTGAACCTGTTAAATTAGGCCAGTCATTTGGTATTTTGGAGATCATCATATCCACTATTTATACGTGAAAATCATGAATTTTGTGTCAGCTTACTTGGATTTGTTCAGCCTCGGCATCTAATAAACTTCATTAGAGGAAGTTCAAGGTCGGATTAAAACCAGAAAAGTTTATGTTGAAGATCGGAAAAATTCATACAGCAATGAAAAATAGCTGCCTCGAATCAATTTTGAAACATTAAATAAAATTAATTATGCATCAAAAACAGAGAGAGAAAGAGACGAAAAAAGTAACCGAGGAAGAGGGGAAAACACATTAGAGCCGTAAAAAGCTCACCTCAAAGCTCAAACACAGAGAACACAAGATTTGTCTTCAAGCACGAGAGAGCTTAAAGCTCCGAAGCAAAGCTAGAAAGTGAAATAAAAAAAAACAAAAGAAACCCAAATAGATGTTCAAAAATCTAATGCAAAAATATTTTTCTACACACGAAAACAGAAACAGGGTTTCGTCAATCTCCAAAAAAGGCAAGGGAAAGAAGATGTAGAAGGTCGTTAGTCACAGTAAAATCCTAAGAAGACAAAAAAAAGTGCGGGGGAGAAATAGAGTTTAGAGTCCAAAGTTGGTTAAATGAAGGTTCGTTCTACCCGACAAGACTGGTGCACTGTTATGGTTTTAGGCAAAGACAAGTCATCGGGCAAACAAAAGAGGTTACGTCAACGAAATAAGCAATAGGGCTAACATCAGCTGACCAAACCCTATTAATGACTATTAAAACCAAGATGTTGAATCCCCACTTTCTGCAGGTTATCAAGCCTACAATAACCAAGTATATTTCAGCAACTTTTAGTAGGAAGAATAAAGGGACCGAGATGGTAGGTTAGACTGTTGTCGTGTATGTGTACGTGTATGGGACGATGATTTCAATGCAGCAGTTGTACCTTGTAAGGCTCCTACATAAAGTTGGGTGGACGATTAATAAGAGAATTAAATCAAGAACGCGCTGGACTTACAACTCATACCTATTAAATCGGATAATCAATTTTAAGCTGGTAAGGATTGATCCGGATATCGCAAAAGGAAGAGTAAAACCCACTTGTTCTCAAAAGCAAGTTATATTCTTTTATTAATATGTTTAAAAGAAAAAAAAATAATGCCAAGAAAAAAAACAAGGTGTTATTATCATTGTATGACTGGTTCAAAACTTTTTGTATTCATCAGATTAGATAGGCATTAAAATAGAGGAACACAAAAAAAGAAGATAGTTTTTAAAGTTATAGGAGATGCCTATATAAATTCTTGTGGCTGCGAATCTGACGTTCGGAGATGATAATGTAGGAATGTTGATGACGACCATTTCTAAATGGTTTTTGGTGTAGAGTTGACGTCGTCTCTTTGGTCTAAGTTTTGTGATAGTTTCTGGGGCAGGACTGGACTGATTCAGCCAAAGCCAAAGGGTTTCAAATTCTGTATTGTGTTGTGTTTTACGGGGTTCTCAACTTTTTGGGGTCAATTCTGTGTGTGAACATAATATCTGTTTTTAATCAGACCAACAGACTCCGGGAACTTAAATAATGAAGATACGGGTTTCTTTGGGTCATGACTGTGAAAGCGCCACTTCATTGGGTTCCTTGAGGCCCGTATCTTGTGGCCCCTTCCCTGGGTTGACACTGCTGTTTGCAGACCAGACCAAATGAAAAAGGACGACTCACACTTTTCGTATTATTTGTTATTAACCATTTTTTCCGAATTATTTTAATATATTCACAAATTCAGTATTTAAATTGTCTTTGTACTTTCTCTAGTTATGGAGGACTGATACTCAGACAATCAAATCTTATGTCATATACGCTTGTAAATCGTAATTATTATCCACCAAGGCAAAAGTTATCCTGGGATCCTTCTTGTCTCATCACATCATTAACTTCTTACATTACTATTATACCTTGCATGTTTTTTCCGTCCAAGTTTACAAAGCATTAGGCATTCTATCAATGGCGAAAATCTTTACTGTCTTTAAGAACATAGTTAAATGTAAACTGGGTATAAAAGTGATTCTGTGAAAGACAACCTCTGAGCTTGTCCTGCACCTTTGCTTTTGATTAGTTTATTTTTCCTCAGATGATTTCGTTTATCAACAAAACGAATGAAAACAAGCCAAGTAAAAAAATGCTTCCATTTGATAAGACCCTGTACTCATTAATTTTGACCATCTCCAACTTGCTTTTAATCCGACCGTCACATAACATGTAACCCACCACATTGACCATTCTTTAACTAGTTTACTTCATTTGCTCTAGTTCTCAACCACCATTTTTGCTTAAGAACAACCAAGAACATCAAAAGTAGTTTGGCTTGGCAGATACATGCCTCAACAGGTCGTGGGTTGTCTCGGATTTTATATATATATATGTATTCTCTCTTATTTTATAATTGTGGCTTGTGGGTGACTTTGTTTTCTTCTTATAATGTCTCTAATAATGTGTCCAGTTCTTGTTTGTCATATTGCCTTTTGTTTCTCATGACAGTACAGCTATGACTTCTTCATTTTAATAGTATTTTTAATATTTTAATATTTATTATTTTATATAATTATTTTTTTGAATATTTGAGTTTTCTTTTATATTTTGAATTTATTATTACTATTTTTTTTAAAAAAATTAGATACATCAGTATTTTTAAAAACAATAACTTAATTTTTGAATTCGATAAAAAATCAATTTAATCCTTCAGTGATGTTACAGTCTATAATAGACTATCAAATCAAGATAGTGAATCACCCTATAAAGATGATAACAATTAAACGTTTCATTAATAAAAAACATATTCATTTTTTTTATGTTTTAAGAATGTATAAAAAAGGTTAAATATAAAATAAGTGTCAAACTATAGTATTTTTCATGAATAGGTGTATAAATTATTTTTTGAATAATCCTAGTACCTCACGTTACAAACGTTATCTGTTTAGGTGTGCAAACCGTGAACGACATTAATTTCCTCCATTAGGTGATATCACAATCTGGTAATTTTAAAAAAAAATATTAAAAATATTATTATATTTATAAAAAAATCATAATTTCTCTTAAATTACAAAAAGCCTCAAAATTCTTAAAAATCTCAAATCCTAACCCTAACCATAACTCTAACATGCCATCATCTCCCTTTTCGATCACGACCATTGTCGTTAACTTAGTCTCTGTCATCCTCCTAGTCATATGTCACTGCATTTGTCGTCGATTGGTCACCGAAATCGCATGGGATCGCGATTTTCATCATAGAGTTTACGAGATATAAAACATTGATTCATCGTTGATAGGTCGTCGATTGGTCACAATTTCATGGGGGTTTTGGTAACGGGGAACGTGAGGCCAGGTGGATCTTCGTTGACATCAAAGGGAGACAATCAATGTGGTTTAGGGGTTAAAATGAAGATTTTTAAAGTTTGGGATTATTTAAAAAAATTAATTTTAATTTTAAATACTTTTTTTTAATTATCAAATTGTGACATATGTCACTTAATGGAGAAAATTAACGTCGTTGACGACCCAAACATCTAAAGTGATAACGCTTTTAACGTTGGGTACCAAAATCATTTAAAAAATAATTTACACACGTCTTCGTGAAAAACGTTTATAGATTTATTTTATATTTAATCCTATAAAAAATTAAAATTTTATGTTGACTTTTTTAAAAAATAAATTACGAATCTCAAATATCATAAAAATAATAGTTCACGTGTACTACAAAGCTGAGCTGTACTTGAAGCGTGTCACGTGAACATCCGTCACTGTCCTTGGCCCCATCTTTCAGTGTATCCCCACGCTCGAAGGACGGTGGATGCTTGGATTTAACGTGTCTTACGATGGATGACGAGATCCTGATTTCATTAAGGGTAAACTACAAAAATGGTCAATAATTTTTAAGTAAACCTTTTTTCCTATTTAAGTTTCAAAAGATACAAAATGATCACTAAAATTATCAATTTATAACAAATCGATTCATTACCGTTAACAATCATTATTGGGATAACATAATGCGCCGTTAACAATCATTATTGGGATAACATAATGCTAACTTGTCACATTATATTAGTAGCCTAAACTTCTACAAGTGCTCATTGGCACATATACCCTTATGTATAAATGGTCAAATAACTTTTTTTTACCATTTCTTGTTACCATGGTGTTTTTCATGTTTCTTCCATTGGTTGGTTAATTCAGTTTTACGAGAAATCTTTTTTTTATGATGATTGTGATTAAATTAAAAGATGGAAAAGAGAGCAGTTAGGGTTTATGTAAAAAGGGAGTGAGAAGGGCATAATAAAAAATGGTATAAAAGTTATTTGACCATTTGTACATAAGGATATGTGTCAAAGAGCATTTGCAGAGGTCCAGACTACTAATATAAAATGTCAGCATTTCATTACTCTACGACAAGTGACATATTTATTATAAATCAATAATGTTAGTGACTATTTTGTAATTTTTGAAACATCAGTGGAAAAAGAAAAATCTTACTCTTTATGTAATTTACCCTTTGATTATTTATTGGGCGGAGATTTGATTTATTATTTTACATTAAAGAATGATATGTTAATTTTTTTTTTAAATAGATAATGTTTAAAATTTAATATTACACATAAAACAAAAATAATGTAAAGATTATTGTTAAAATTATTTTATAATAATAAATTTTAAATTAATCAATTAATGAATTCAATTTGTTAGGTAACTTGATAATCAGATCGTGCCTAGGGATGGCAATGGGTCGGGTCGGGTCGGGTTTTTGGGCCACCCGACCCGACCCGAAAAAATTAATGTTTCACCCGACCCGACCCTACCCGAATATATGACTTAGAAACCCGACCCGAAATAATAAAAAAAAATTAATTCAATGAAAACAGTGACTTAATTGAAAAAAATTATATATGGAGGGATATTATTGTAATTATCCCTAAATATATAAGATAAAATTATATATATTTTTCGGGTCGGGTCGGGTCGGATTTTTTTTACCCTAAACCCAACCCGACCCGAACAACGCATTTAAAAAAAAATCCGACCTGACCCGACCCGAACCCGATTTTTTTTTAAAAAATTCGATCCGATCGAATCGGATCGGAACCCGTCGGATTCGGGTTGAGTTAGCATCCCTAATCGTGCCACATCGAACCAAAGTCA